CAGCTTTGCTGCTTCTCCTCTTCCCCGCCCCGCAGCCCCTGGCAGTGCGCTGGGAGCCGGGACATTCCCACCCCAGTGCGGCCCCTCTCCCCTCCGACTGGCCCAGGGACACAGGCTGGAATAGGGGAGGGGTCTGTCAGTTTCCCCTCAAGCCTCTCTCCAGCTTTTCCTCCAGGTCTGGGTGGTCCTGGTGGCTGGGACATTCCCATTCCCAGCCCCATGTGCTGCTGCCCCACTCTGCCCCACCCCCCACACTGGTCACCAGCCCGTAGGGCAGGGGTGCAATGTTCCGACGGATACGGGATACGCCTGTCACAATGATCAACCTCTGCCTTTGCCCATCCCCCTCGGAGCCTCAGAACAGGAGGCCAAGGGTCCCTCCCGCTGTTGAATGTGGACAGGTCTGGCCTGGCCTCTTTCTCCCCAGTTCCCCCTGCCCCTCCCCATTCCCCCTGGGCTCTGCCCCCCCACCCTGTCCAGAAGCTGGAGCCTTGCCCAGACAGGAGAAGCCCTGGGGTGCCAATGCAGCTGGGGCCATCACAGGACAATTCCCCTGGCAGCAGGGGGGAGGGGGAGGCTCAAAAGCTGCCCCTGGCTCTGCCCAGGACAGATGTAGGATCCATGGATACTACCACTGCCCAGCCAGCTCTTACTGTGACGTGAAGGGGGTAAGAACCACAAGGGCAGTGGAGGGGAGCCTCAGACTTTCCACGTGCTCTGGCTACCACTGCCCAGCCAGCTCTTACTGTGACGTGAAGGGGGTAAGAACCACAAGGGCAGTGGAGGGGAGCCTCAGACTTTCCACGTGCTCTGGCTGGGGGTGTGGACATGGGCTGGGGCTGCTTATGGGCCCCCCACCAGTGTTTCCTGTAAGCTGAGCGCTTGGGCAGCCACTAAGGAGCAATTCAGGTGCTGCCCAGCTGATTAGCAGAGTCCCCACAACCAGCTGCCTGGGTTTGAGTGGTGCACATCTGCACCTGCCAGAGTGCATAGAACAACATTTATTCCACACATAGATGGAAAAAATTTGAGGAAACCTTGCCCCTGTCCTAGCAGGACAGCCTGAGTGACAGATAGCCTGCTCCCTCCCCAAGCCCCCCAACACTCTGGTTTCTGCCCAACCCAAAGGAGCGTTTGCCCCAACTCACTGGCACCTCCTGGCTGAAAGCAAACCCAGCACCTGCAGCCAGTCCTATGGCACCGTCACCAGCAATTTACTGGCCCAGAGAAGGGAAGGAGAGTTACTCACACAGCAAACGCAGCAGCCGGAAACACGCACACGCACATGGTGCACTCCTGCCTGGCCCAGGGAATAGAGGCGCCTCTGGTGAACCAGCTCAGTGTGTCCTGTAGCACCAGCCCACCAGCTGCAGATTCCTCAGTTTGTGCCAAACCCTCCCCCCACCACCATCCCCCTCCCTCCCTGCCCCACCCCCCTGTCTAAGCCTGGGAGAGAGAAAGTTCTTCCTGCCCTGGCTCATCCTTCCCTCCCCCAGAGCTCACACTGATAAGAGGGTTTGGGGCCCAGCTCCTCTTCAAGGGCAGGCGGAGGAGGGGAGCAGCTAACAGAGTCTTATGCTCCACAGTGGCTTGTCTGGTGTCTGGAGCTCCCTGTGCCAGGCAGGAGATGCCCCCTCCCCCGTCCCCTGGACACATCAGGGTCTCACACTTGGTCTCACAACAAACCCTCGTCCAAACCCTGAGAAACACCGAACCCTCGCCCAGCGCCACAGGCACAGCCAGTCCCAGGGGTCAGCACCGGCAGCCACCCTCCCCCCCCCCC